ACAAGCTTCACAGATAGAAATGTACAGTTCAATAACTTCTTCGGTTATATTTCCATATTTGAGTTTGATTTCTTGAAGTGTTCTTATTCTTCCGCCGTGTTCAATTCGCTTATGTACCTGGTCGATGACTTGGAACGGTTCATCCGTTTTCACCATAAATGAGATTGTATCGGTAAGGGTTTTTCTTTTTTTTGATTAATCTCTCATCATTGACCACAATATAAAGTTCATATCGCTTCAATAATCACTATTCTTTTTTTCTGTATGGCGGGAAACACCGGCAGTTTGTTAATTCGCTTTGGACGCTATTCTGTGCAGAGTGTCTTTAAAAATATACTCATTGTCAGATTAGCCTAATAAAACTGCATAAAATTATTTTCATTTCGTTTTGAAACTAAATCAGAAATATGAGTCTTTCGAATTATCTTTGTCATTTATCGTAAAGCTCAACAACCGATTAAAAATGAAAAACTTTGACAAGGGGTTACTAGGCTAGAAATTATTGTTTGTCATATTTTCTTGCCAGGACGTACTTGATGGATGAACCCTGTATATTCAAAACTACATCATTAGTGCAAAATGTGGTGAAAGAGCCAGAAATGACCATATTTAAGAGATTTGTCTTTTTTCTGGAGAAAAAAAAGTCTACAATATAGTATTTAAGAATTTTGTACATTCGCTAGCGAACTTCAAAACCCTATTCTGTACTTTCTCTGTACTTATTAGGGAATCTATAGAATCACTGGCGAATCTGTAGAATCGCTAGCTATTCTATAGATTCGCAGAATTTTCAGCGATTCTATAGATTCGCAGAATTTTCAGCGATTCTATAGATTCACTAGCAATTCTACAGATTCGCTAATTCTGTACTTTCTCCACAACATATATATACGATAAATGACTAGATGCAAAATCAACGCTTTGAACATTAGAAGTATCGTCGTGGGGATGAGGGATCTCGTAGCCTTCGTGGATGCACGATGTTAGAAAGTTTTTGATTCCATCTGATAACTGTTATTTTAACATCGGTTGTATAGAAAACGAGTGCACATGCCACACATGATATTGATAAGGCAATACCTAAAAAGCCGATTCGATATTGCAACGTTTTATACTCATGTCGAATGGCAGTTAAGATGAATATCATGTAGGGAAAGCCAAGTACTAATAAAATAAAACATGGGACAAATATTTTTTTCATCATGATTAACTCTCGTTTTGCTCGACGTTGTTCTTGTGCAATAATGTGTTGATTACGATTATCTGAATATATTAGTTTCATTCTTGTCATGTGACCTCGGTAGTTATACATGAGTGCCAGATAAATCATTGAGAGAATGCATAACGGCAACAGATAAATGACGCATGCTAGGTACATCATGATGCCTGTATTACTTAACGGAACTTGACATAAATAACTGTTCGGATCATACACAATTTGACCGTTCACGAGAAGGTGCACTGGAAAACAGCATGATATAAGCCACTGAATTAAAATTAACAGAAAATTAGTTTTGAACGTTTGCAAATAACGTTTCGTGTGATAAATAACAGTAAATAGTCGATTTAACGCCTGAGTGCAGAATGAATGATAAAGTAAGGCTGTTCCAATGAATGAAATATAACCACGAAATTCGCACAAATTGTCTTTAGGTTCGCCGTATAGATCATGTTTTAGCACATACACAGTTGTTGCAAGAAGGTATAAACCGTTGAATAATACCGCTATATTCGAATTAGCCGCTAACATATTCGGAACAGAATAGAGTTTCGAGTAAATGAGTATAAAGAGAAATAGAATGCATGATATAACAGCTATAATACTAGAAGTGATCATCAACAGATCGATCGTCACATGCCAAGACATGATCGGTAGTTGTGTGCTATTCAACTCAGTAAAATTACCGTTCATTATTGTATGGTTTTAAAACGCAGATCTTCCACTAGTTTCATGAGACAGTAAATTTCTGACAGAAAGACAGACATCACTTATTTCCATAATTATGTAAGTTAATGAGTGGGATGGAACTTCATGCATTATGCATGTTCCTGAAAAAAAACAGATATATCTCTAACGATTCTTTCAATTGATGTTCAATTCATTCTATCATAGCTGTAATTCTTTTGCATGAGAACATCTTTTCATTTTCTACTGTAAAAATAAGCTGATAAAAAAACTGAAATATGTTACTGCCAGTTGACAATAGAGTACAGAATCACTTAACATTAATAACTTTCTTATTCAATTGTGAAACACCCATGTTACTTGTTAGACACAATTAATATGAATCGGCTTCGTTGAAAAAGCTTTTGAACTGAAAGCCATGGTAGTACAAAAGAAAATCTTTTAATTATCACACATTCAACTGAGCAATGTCTGATAGAAACGGAAACATCTTTCTCACAAATGATTAAATTACTATCCATTTGAAAATATAAGCCTCATGGATCTTTTTTGAATAACTTTTGAAGGGAACGAGATTAATCATCGCTTCATTTTTATCGATCTGAGCATAATGCAACTGGTCGCGATGAATGAATCGATTACACATCACTGTGCTGCATGTTTAAGGTTGTTCGATAGAAGGGATAACTAGCAAAATTATCATTTGAGTTACCCTACAGTACATTTTAGAGACCGAAACTAACCGTCTTTTTCTAGATCAGGTTCGTTCGGGATCACCAAAATTTAAAAATTTTAGCTGGTTCGATCCGTATTTGACAGCCAAAAGAAATTCTTTTTGGTAAATTCAATGTCTCGATTACTCAATAAAATATAACCATTCATGAAAAATGCTTTGGTTTCAGAACAACCAGTAGAAGTATTACTTATCTCCTTCGTCACTCTCAAGGTTTTTTCTCAAATACAGGTGTAAGAAACTGAATCGGTTCAGTTCGCTTAAAATTTCAAAAGTTTGGATTGGGGGTATATATCTCCCCGAAAAAAAATAGTTTCACTCTGTATTTCTCATTTATTGTCACTATAAAAACACATTTATTTAAAACAAACTACATATTCTGAAAGTCCGTGGAGTTCTCTATCACCCTGTATATTGACGTATTTTCTTGCATTCGTTTATTGAAAAATAATTTGAACACAATGAAGACACCCTCATGTCCAGATTCCCATAGACTTGATTTTTTCTTTGTCGTCAAAAATAGTTTTTAAAATTTTTCGTTACTATAGAATGATCTTTTTGAAAAGACAATTATAGATTCTGATAGAGCTTGAAATTCTCTATCACCCTGTCTATTTACTTCCTTTCTTACATTCATTTATTGAAAAATAATTTGAGTACAATGAAAACTTTCTCAATCGACAAGCACTAAAAATCTACATTTTTTTCGCCGTTTTTTTACTTATTACCCTCAAAGAAATAAATTATATAAAAGAAATTATTCCATTGTTAGTGTATGAAATTCTCTATCATTCTACGTATAATTATGTTGCCCTGAACTCGTTTTCTAAGATATTATTCGGATATCATGTAGATATTTTTTGATAAAATTCTTTTAAAAAGTCACTTTTTATTGTTTTGTTATTTTTTTATTTTCAAATTCAATATCAACAAGCACGATAACAAATTTTTATACAAAAAAAGAAACAATGTCCTAATGATTATTCAAAGTTCTACTCATCCCAAACTTTCCCAGCCTTGAGTCGCTATTACTTGATAACAAACATCTCGAATATGGTCAATATAACCACGTATTACAGATTGTGGAATTTGATTCCAAGCATCAATAACTAATTGTTCAAGACGTTGTTGAGAATTAGGATGACGTCGTTGTATTAACAGTGGAATAATTTCTTTTATATAATTTATTTCTTTGAGGGTAATAAGTAAAAAAACAGCGAAAAAAATGTAGATTTTTAGTGCTTGTCGATTGAGAAAGTTTTCATTGTACTCAAATTATTTTTCAATAAATGAGAAATACAGAGTGAAACTATTTTTTTTCAGGAGGATATATATATATATATAGGCACTACAAAACAAAAACGGTGATAGAAACAACAACAAGATCTTGATACAGAATTTTCTAGATACATCAGACTTGGAACCGTAGTAAATCTTGATCAACTTTTTTCAAAGACATCAAGTACAGAAGTATCAATAAACCTTGATCAAGAATTTTCAAGAAAAAGAATCTTTAAAGAACTTGTGCAGATTTTCTCTTTCTGCAAGACATAAGATATATGAGCTAATCGTAACTTTTTTGTACGGTTATTAAAAAAAACGAAAGTGTTCCTAAAAAAATTCCGAGTCGTACATTTTGTAGCCCACACTTCACTGAGGCTCCACGAAAACTTTCCCAACTACCAGACGGGAACTGGCTGAGATATTTCAGTAACAGGGTCGGTTTCTAGCGCTCGACAGGATTTCAACGGAATCTATGCAAAATAGTCGCCAAAAACAAACTTATGACATACCATTCGACTCGTCTTGAGACAAGCAATCTGGTGAGTCTACTAACAGTTGACATAAGGGAAAAAACCTACAAAAAACGCGAAAAAGTTTTTCCATAAAGTTTTCTTTCCAGAACCTAGGAGCACTACAAATCGCTCGCCCATGACCAGACGAGTCTATTGATGTATGGTAAGCGCAGGCCCGAGCAAAGAATTCTGAGAAAATCGAGCAAAAATTGTCGCTCTACATTTCGCAGAATATCGTAAAATTCTAACATAAGCAATTATCAGACAGCCTCAAAATTTTTGGTGCTAATGCAACTTTTTATGCTCTATTTGCGCTATTAGCTTCAGAAAGTTTTGATGTGCCCGCTAGGAGTTATTCGCCATTCGATTTGCAGAATGTCGCTCTACACATTGAGTGAAAACTGATTTTTTTTAAAAGTCTGAACATTTTTCAAAAACCTAGAATGCAAAACCGTATATTAGAGTTACACCATTTTGTTACTCGCCCCGAGCTCTTTCATTCTAGACCACTCTCGATTTTTCAGCTTCCTGCTGTGCTGAGCTGGAAAGCGCTTTGTGTCGCCCTACACAAAATGACACTTTTGAGTGCAAATGTATTTTCGACCTAGAATGATTAAAAAAAGTAAAGGACGGGAAAATATGAGTAACCTAGATCGATACAGAAATAAAAGTTCTACAAACTGGCCTATTTACTTTTTTTTCCTTTCTGCCCTATCTTTGGAAACTCTATTTGTATAATGGCGAATAATCCGAAAAATGGGATTTTTCGACTTTGAATGGATACAACTTTGCGGGAAAAAATATCGTAAAATTACAATTGTACAAAAAAGTTACGATTCGCTCATATACGTCATGCACAATCGGTTACCGCTTACGACAAGTGTATACGAATAAAGAAATAGAACAAACTGACGATGGATCACTCCCAGGCAATGCAATAGATTCTGATATACAAACCACAACAAAAGCAACGTTTCTCCGACGAAAAAGCAACAAGTCTTGCAGATTTAGCTGAAGAATAAAATGATGTCAATCATATTCTAATTAAAACTCAAAACACTAATGTCAAAGTGAAATCACCTTGTTTTCTATCGAAATTTAGGCTTGCTTATCTTAGTTGAAATAAAAGCTGCACTTTTCTATTTTACAACTTTCCATAAAGTACAGTTTGCTGTAAGTGATTTCGTATGCGGACTGGAACAACTTTTTTGTTCCTATTTCATAAGCAGCAGCAAAAAATTTTCGTCTCTTGATCAGTCGTGGTTCACTAACAGATTGAGCGTAAGATTAAAGTAAAAGGGGTATAAGCAATACTTAAAATCAAGAACGTTAACAGATCTCCATGCATATGAAGTGAGTGCGAAAGTATTCGAAAGGGAATGCGACAAAGCATTATCAACTCTCGTCTACTAAAAACTCATGCAAGAAATGATGAAATCTCTTGATATTTTCACTTAGCAAAACAAGACAGTCAAATACTCCTCCCCTACTCGACAGTATGACTGGAAAGACTGCCTCGTCTGCTTTAGATCGGGCACAAATTTTCAATCGATATTTCTCCAAAATATGTACGGCCGACTACACATTCGTTCCTTCTGCTTCTGACCTTGCCTCAGCATCGTCTAGTACCATGCCGAATTTTGTTGTCAATGTATCACAAGTCTATGAAATTCTTCTAAATTTGAATGTTAGCAAAGCCGCATCACCTGGTATTTGTAATCCGATGCTTCGTGAAGCGACACCAGTCATCTCACCAATTGTAACAGATTTGTTTAATGAATCATTGACTAACAAAGTATTTCCTGACTGCTCAAAATGAGGTCAAGTTTTACCTTTCTTTCAGGTTGATGAACCCCAGATAGGCTCTAAATACAGACCAGTTACATTATTACCGGCATTGACAAAGGTGTTTGACAGAGTGGTATGTATGCATGTTTTTGGGTTTCTTCGAGTCAATAACGAAAGAATCAGCCCATTTTTTGCCAAAGGATTTCTCGGTCAATCAGCTTAGTTGATTTCGTTGCTAATAGTATTGATGCACGAGATTCTGTTCTTGCAATGTTTTTAGACTTTAGAAAAGCCTCGGAGAGAGAGCATCCCATGCAGGTTTTGAACTTATTTAACTAACAGAAATATTGTTACGTTTACTTATGGCGTAACCTCCGATCCACTTAAACCCATTGAATGATTTTTTTGAATAAAATAAGATTAATAAACTGCATATTATGTAAAAAATAAAAGAACTGAAAGTTTAAAAAATAAATATCAACAAAAACACACTATAGCTTTTTTGAAAATTTTAAATGATATCTGTAAAATGTAGTATCGAAAAGAATATTCCAAAAAGCTATTGTATGAACTATTTTTCTCGGGTAAAAGAATTTTGATTGATTTTCTTCTCATAAGTTTACTATTTTGAGATTACATAGAGAATTTTTCTAAGTGAAAGAAAATGATTTCTGTTGATTAAAAAACAAGAAATATTAGATTGTAGAATAAATAAACATAACTATAAGTAAAATTCTTTCAATTCAATTAATTATGGTATCAATAATACAGAGTGTATAGATTCCTCAATAATTTTGGTTATTTTTAGAAATTAGCCTTCGTCCGACGTCCAAGTCCGATATAATTATCTATCCTAATATATTTGTCTATTTTGACTTTCGTGATGAAAATGAACAAGAAAATGTTAGACTGAAAAAAAATGTCTTTTCTGTCGATTATGTTTTCATATATATAATTGGAATGACTAAGCTAATTTTTTTTGTTGTAGAACAACAGCAGTCATCTTAATTTTTATCAAACATACAACGTATATCAAAAAGTCGACATTTTCACAATTTCTTCTCAGATAATGTACGTTTAGAACGTTGTTCCACTACATTTTATTTATATTTAGAATGGAAAAATTGCCTGATGAAATTTTGTTACAAATATTTCATTATTTACATCCACTTGATGTTCTTTACGGCTTTATTCATCTTAATTCACGTATAAATCAAACAATATCCGAGTATAGATCGAACATTCGTCTTGTCAATATTTTATCCTATAATCAATTTGAATTTTGTTGTCAAAATATATTTTATACATTTAACAATATTCGATCATTAATTCTAGATAATAAACATTTAGAATGTTTAATTCAAATATTTGATTGGCGAGTTCAAATTGATAATGTCTGTCAAAATCTAGAACATTTAATATTAAATAATTCTACTATAGGTCAATTACGAATATTTTCATCTAAAATAAAATTATTACGTAATCTAAATGAATTGATAATCTCTAGTGATAAACGAATTTCCTTTCAGGAGACAAAATACATATATCGTCATATATTTATTAATCATTCGTCCTTAAAAAAAATTTCATTAAAATTTGTCAGTGCCTTTCATATTGATTCAGAATTATCTGTTTGTCCTCTTATTGAAGATTTAACGATAACTTTAATGAATTTTAACGATATATTTATACTATTTGAACAGTTACCATATTTAAAACAATTCAATGTTGATATTCTTTTACCAGTTGCCTATTCTGTTCAATTTACTACACTTCCATTTCGACCAAATATAATTGATTTTCAAATAAAAACAACGATTACATCATTTATAATTATTGAAAGTTTAATTAATTGTATGCCAAATTTAAAACGTTTATCCATCTTCTTAATTAATGTTCAAGATCAAAATTATATAGATGGACATAGATGGGAATATATTTTGAAAAAATTAGTTAAATTAGAACAATTTCAATTTTATATTCGTCTATTGTATAGTGAACAAAATAGTGAACAAATTTTGGCTACATTTTCTACTAAATATTGGTTAAATGAAAAAAGATGGTAAGTTAAAAAAATCTAAAAATAAATCTAATATATAAATAGAGTATATTGTTTCAGGTATGTTGCATTCTATGGTGAATATCCCTGTTATTATTTACATACAATTCCATATTCATATGATACATTAATAATTTCTACGTTAGCTCATAATTGGCACAGTACATTATTATTAACCAGCGAAAATAGTTTTCCCTACTCAAATGTTAAATGTGTTAAGTTTGATTTCAAAATTATCAATGATTATCATTTGAATGTAAATAAATTTTATTCAATATTAGAACAATTTATTAATATTGAAACTTTAATATTAAAATGTTATTCACTATTTACAATATTGAATAATAATAATAATAGTGTTACAAATCAGAAATTAGAAAAATTACAACATATTACTATCCATCGAATATATGAAAATAAAATTAATGTTCCATTTCTTCTTCAATTATTTACAATGACACCAAATTTAAATTCATTGAAAATATATTGTTGTGAACTAATCTATATTCTTGATGATCATTTACAAAATCATCAGTTACGAAGAAAAATGTTATCAATTACATCATTAGTTATCAAAGAATTTTTGGATCCATGTAAAATGTCTACTCTAATGAATGTAAATCGATTAACAATGATGTTTCCGAATGTTAAAATGTTAAAAATTAGTTTAAAATCCGATATTCTCATGGAAGCATTATTCACATTATTTATCCATTGTCAATCATTAATTTATTTACAAATTAAAGTTTTAAATTTCACAAATATAATAATTACCTATTCGGACTTGCTTAAAACATTATGTTGGAAATTAAAGAAAAAATTTCAAATGAATTATGATGAAAAAATATTGAAAATTTGGTTATAGTATTGTGCAAGAATTTTTTTAAGCAATATTTATTTTATTACTTCATAGAGAATTCTTTCAACGTTATTAGTAAAGTAAAAAGTCCAACAATTTTTTCATTTATTAGCAAGAAAGTTAATAATGTATGATTCATGATTTAAGCAATCTATGTCAATTAATGTACATGATGCACACATACATACATGGAATGATTAATCATTTTAATAATGCGATATTTGTTTTTCATTCATAATATCAAATGTTTTTCATACTCAATATTGCTAAATAGAATAAATATGAAAATGAGAGAAAATCATAACAAAAGAGAGACAAGAGAAAAAAAAATGGAAAAAAAAAGTACATACATAATGCACATTGATGAGATACAGAAGAAAAAAAAAGATTGTATCTCAAGAAACAAAACAAAAATCATTATTTTAAAATAAAATAATGTCTGTTTCAGTAGAGAGCAACGTTATTCCACACGCACCCAATCATTTGTACATATAACAAAACAAATGCTATATATTTAATTGGAACAATTTGTTCATTTACCTACAAAAGAAAGAAAAATATTGTTGTCACTTTGTCAAAACCTTTTTTTCATTTCATTTGTGAACGACTGAGGTGACTTTTGCTACAAAATTTTCAACTATTCAGTATTTCTAATTTAAAACTCTCTGGAGGAATGGCAACGAACGCACGATCATGTCTTGAACGCGAGCGAACTAAAGATATTAGAATAAGCGTCCCCAACCAATGACCTTTTAGAACGTATCTTATTACATACTTTAATCTTTTTGTTTATTTCTCTTCTCGATATTCTTCAAATTCAGGCCAACGACAATTTGTTTGAGTTCCTGTAAACACAGAAGGTTAAAATCAAAGATAATCCACATAAGATCACTATTTTTATAAGGATTGTAACCTTACTTTATATGAAATACTTTGAATTAGTGAAGACAGTATTGTTTTACTGTCTTAGTTTCAAAATTGCATATCGTAAAGTAGCGATCCCGAAATCATCGTTTTCCTCTCAAGAGTAAATAAAAGAAACACTTTTCTTACCATAATTTTGATCCCACCATGTGATATCTTGTTGTGAATCATGTGTTTGTAAATTTTGTTGATAATCATCGTACATTTTTCTTAATATTGGATTATTATTAATATCCAATGATTTTCCGTATTCACTATACGTTTCTTTAAAAAAATCAAGACGTTTCTTTTCAAATTGTTGTGTACGCTGAAATACCTCTGCCATTTGTTGTTCATAATGTGGACGTTGATCAATCATATCTTTTAACGTTTGTTCATATTTTGTACGTGCAAAACTAACTTCACGTTTTGCTACATCCACTTTATCGGCTAATTTTCGACGTTGGTCATCATCCGTAGCATTTCGTTCATTAATTTCAGTTTGTTTCAATGTTTTACATGCTTGATAATATGATTGTTTTGATTCTTGAATTTTATCCAGTAATTTTGTCCATGATTTTTGAACAGAATCAAAATCTTTTTCGAATTCTTTTGTTTTTTTGTAGTGAATGAGTGATTTTTCATAGTTGTCTTTGCGCCACTGACGTAGTTTTGGAATAATACTGTCACTTAAGTTCGACGCCATTGTCGAATGAACATCCGCCATCTGTTCACCTGCAAAAATAGGACGAGGGAATAGTTAGAGTCAAACTAAAACAAACAATAACGGGTGTCGCAGAAATAATTGCCCACTTTGCTGTGACCTTTTTCTCACCTTTTAAGTAAAATTTTGTCCAGAAACATGGTTTTAGTGTCAAAAGATAGAGAATTTCATGCTCTACAAGCCCTCTCTATCCGATATCAATATGTTGTTTCACTATTCGAAAAAATAACGTAGAGTAAGGAAAAGTAAAAAGTATGACGACGACCGAAAGAATAGATCGTAGCTTTTTGGACGTCATCCGAAAAGACTAATTTTTCTTTTTCACTAGAGTTTTTTGCAACTTTGATGCCATATGAATAAGCGATGTAGCCAAAAAGACAGTCCTAAACATTTATTTCTATATCCATATATATCTCTCTTTTGGCATCAAAACCATATTTCTGGACAAAATTTTACTTCAGTTCACAGAAAAGTACGCAATTATTTCTGCGACACTCATGAAACTCCAGTACGGTCATTTTTTTGGCGCATAAAAGGCATCAAAGCTGCGTATGGTAGTAGTGAGATTTTAGTCTCTTTATGTGACGAATCAGTAGTTAACCGTTCGATCAATTATTTACGGGCGCGGCCAGCGTTAGCCGATGTATACAACTAAATGAAATAATCTTTCTCACCTGTGGTCACTGTTTGATCCCAAACTTTTTTATTTGTTCCATATTCTTGAGACTTAACTAATTCACCATGCCATTTTTTTGACCAAGTTTTTAATGAATTTACATAGGCCATTTCAATTTGTGATCGTTCATCAAACATTTCACATAGTTGTGAAGCTAAATCATGTCCATTTTCACATCGTTTTAATGCCACGTGGTATTGACCCGGTTCGTAAAATCCTTTACCGTACGAAGAATTTTGTGCGAATGCTTCGGGTGACGATGAAGATGGTGAGGGTAAAATAACCGAGGCTACACTTTTACGACTGAATAAATTCATTGTCTGCTTGTTTGTTCTGTTTTCAGTTATTGAGTTGCTTGTGTTGTATTAATAAATCTAAAAAATAATTAGTTTCCACATAAGTATCACATTCTACTGCAACTGATATAAAAGAGAGATAAACAACTAAAGTATCAAAGAACTAGAAGACGAAAAGAATGTTAGAAGAAGTATAATAAATCGTTAAAAATCTTCGGCAATTCTCGTGGAAAGATCAAAAAAAACTAGAATATATCGTATTTTACACATTCACTGACTCTTTTTTATAATCTGCAAAGTATTGCAGTTATACTGCCGGCGTTGTGAACGAACATAGCTGATGTTTGTTGAAATTTCAACGGGAGAAAAATGGAACGAATAAAGAAAAATTGGAAGAGTTAATGTTTGTTCCCGTTGTATAGGAGTAATTTGTCTTATTCTATCGAATAAGAAGAAAATTATTTAAGCGTACATATTCTCTCGCTTTTTTCGATCTTTCTTCTTTTCTTCAACTGCATGTATCTGCGATGATTTTAGTAGATTCTTTTGACTATCACGTGAAGTTTTGGCGTTTGTCCTTGTTTTTAAAAAAGAACCACATGACAAAGTCGTTGTACAAAAATCAGGGCTAGTGCAATTACTGGAAGGATTCGCAGGACGATCCATTGGTTGAATACTTTTCTTTTTCAGCAAAACAAAAGATAAAATATAATCTTTCGTACTACACGAGAGCAGTCTCAACAAAACGCGAAATTTTTATTATTTTAAAAAAAACGGTGAAAAATGCGTTTATTTTATAGAAAAAACGTGATTTTTTCAAAAACGATTAGAAACGCCGAAAAAACATTGCCG